TACGAGAACGTGCTGGTCCTGCCCAACGGCCACGGCGACTGGGTCCGCGACGTCGCCTGGTCGCCCACCCTGCTCAGCAAGTCGTACATCGCCAGCGCGAGCCAGGACAAGACGGTCAAGATCTGGACCTGCACCAACATGAACTCCGGGCCCGGCAATGTGGGCGACTGGACCCTGGCCAAGACGTTGGAGTTTGACGCCGTCACCTGGCGCGTGAGCTGGAGTCTGAGCGGCAATGTGCTCGCCGTCTCGGGCGGTGACAACAAGGTCACTCTCTGGAAGGAGGATCTGAAAGGGAACTGGGAGATGGTCAGAGAGGTCACCGAGTAGATTGCTGGTGTGCATACCCTACCAAGAGATTTCAAGTATCTGCCACGGTCCGTGTATGCTGTCTACGCTGCACGCTACTCACCGTTCTGGGTTGAGAGGGGACAGCCTCAGCCCGCGATAGAAAATCACGGAAAAAGGAAAAAAGAAAAAAAAAGACTTCCTACCAAATGACGACTTACTGACTGCTTTTCTTCTTTTCTTCTTTCCTTGCTCCTCTCCTGATTCTCTCCTTCGATGAACCGTATATTCCAGATCCCAACCTGGGCTCGTATACAGGACATCCATGACACGGACAGAGGGATATTAATCTACAAGTACAAGTACATGTACAAGTAAAGACTACCTGGTAACTTTCGCACGCCTCCTGACGGATACTGCCCATACTCTTTCGCGTGGAGGGAATGTGATGTATGTCCATACATACATACATATTCCAGCTTCCTACATCCTACAACAAGGCATAGAGTGGACCAACGTATAGGATAGGTCGAGCATGAAACTACGAGAAGGGACACGTAAGACATCAAGACACGGAAAAATGAGAGGAGTCAACCGATTAGCATTATATATATCCCTCTCTCCTCTTACGGACGCAGCGCATACGCTTTCCACTCCTTGTCGACTCGTCTCTTGCCGTCGACATCGCCTTTCCACCCTTGAGCCTGGATGATGGGCTTGGTCGTGACGGACTCGAGCTCTCGAGCCCGTAGATTCGCGTCTTGGATTCTCGCGATACACGTCCCCCGCCCCAGGATCTCCAGTGTCTCGGCGATTCCGGGCCCTTGTCTGCCGCCCAGCAATGCCCAGCGGAGGTAGTGGTACAGCTCCCGTTTCCAGGTCCGCGCGTCAACGGACTCGTCGGGTCCGCTCGCTTCGATGGAGCGGAGGTGCGAGAGGTGCGTGTCTCGGGTCCACGACTCTTCTGGGATCAAAGCCAGCGTTGATGCTGCGACGCGGAGCGGATGGAGGAGCCCGACGTCACTGACTTCCAAGTCGTTTTTCAGGGACACAGGCTCGAAGAACAAGGCGCACTGTTCGGCGAATTGAGACGGGGACCGGTAGTGGAGAGATTCGACCTTCAACAACTGGGCGAGCACATCTCTTAGCTGCCTTTTCTGGGAACCAGAGGCTAGAAACTGCATGATTCTCGCAGCGCCGTACTTGTCCAAAACAGAGACGGCCACATCGCGAATCATTTGCTCAAATTCTTCTCCTCCAGCTAGCACTCGGCGGCGAGCATGTTGCTCCTGCAAAAAGTTCAATTTATCCAGCGAGACAATGGTGTTCCCCTTTGTGATTTTCAGATCAAAAAGGGATTCGAGCTGGGCGAGGTCCATGACGTCCCGTTTCTGGGTGTGAGACCAGCCCAAAAGCGCCGCGAAATTAACGAGGGCCTCCGGAAATATGCCTTGGTCGCGGAATCGTGAGATGTCAGAGTTGAAGTTCCTCTTACTGAGCTTTTGCTTGTTGGCGTCGACCAGCAGTGGGACGTGGGCGTAAGCTGGAGGCGTCCAGTCGAGGGAGTTATAGAGCGCGACATGCAGTGGTGTCGAAGCCATCCATTCGGACCCCCGGACGACGTGAGTGATGTGCATTTCATGGTCATCGCAAACATTTGCCCAGTGGTAAGTAGGGAAGCCATCGGATTTCATCAGAATCGCATCCTCGTATACCGGTTCGTCCACGAGCAATCGTTTGGTCTTTTCGGCCCCGTGGCCTTGGGATTTGCCGTAGACGAGGTCATTATAACGAGGCCACTCGGGCGGAGACAGGAAACGGATAACATGCGCTTCACCGCGGTGGGCTTTCTCTTCCGCCTGAGACGGGGAGAGGCTGTTCAGGCATTTCCTGTCATACCCCAAACTCAATCCCTTTTCGTGGCGGCGGCGATTGAGATCATCGAGACGGTCCGACGTGCAGAAGCAGCGGTATGCCTGTCCCGTCTGTAACAGGCTCTTGACGTGTGTCTTGTACAGCTCGAGTCGTTCAGACTGTCGATATGGGCCGTAAGGTCCTCCTACTTCAGGGCCTTCGTCCCATTGCAGCCCAGCCCACCTCAGATCTCTGTACAACTGGTCCTCCGCACCGGGTATCGTCCTCTTTGCATCGGTGTCCTCGATTCGAAGAAGAAACTGGCCGTTCGTCGCTCGAGCAAGGAGGTAATTGAACAACGCAGTACGGATGGAGCCTAGGTGAAGATTGCCCGTGGGAGAGGGAGCGAACCGAGTTCGAGCTGGTGTTGAGGGCAGCTTTCCTCGTTTTGGGGTGGAATGCGTCGTGGTGCTGCTGTTACTGGTTGGCGCAGTCGAGGCTTTGCGACTCGGGACAAGCGAATGCCCCTTTGCCGCGGTCTGACGGGCACGACATGAATTGCACACCCATCCAGTGACGCGGATGGCAGGCCTCGCCCTCATGGACAACGGGAGAAGACGTTGCAATTGATAGAGAAAGAATGCAAGGTGTGGTAATCAATGTAAAATTCCTAGACTCGAAATCACCAGAAGATTCACGGTCCAACCAGTAGGAAAAGAGGGAAGCAGTCCAAACTCTTCGAATGCTTCTATTCCTCCGCCGTCCGGGTTAATCGTCAGGTATCCATACACATGCAGCCCTATACCTGGTAGTGAATAATAATTGCTTGCGCGCCACCACTGGATCTGTTGAAGATTAGGCCCGACTTTTCGTGCTAGCTCGTGCTGGGTTGAACGAAAACTGCGAAGTCAATCTCCACTCATCTTTCTCACAGAACCTGTCGATTAGTTGTCATCTGCTGGATGCCTCGAAGCGTTTAATTATTTTCCACTTTCCATCAATACCGACATTCTCTGCTTCCCGCACACATCTCTCGATACACACATCTCCCAACAGATTTTGAAACCAAACAATGGACGGCGATACCCCCAACACTGGCGCCGAGATTGATCTCTACGAGATCCTCGGCGTCCCCAGAGATGCCTCTCAAGCCGATATCCGCAAAGCATACAGAAAAGCGGCTCTCGCCAGCCACCCCGACAAAGTGCCTCCCGAGGAGCGAGAAGAGGCAGAAGCCCGTTTCAAAGCCGCCTCCCAGGCTTACGAAATCCTTTACGACGACGAAAAGAGACATCTCTACGATGCCCACGGCATGGCTGCCTTCGATGGGTCCCGCGGCCCCGGGGGCATGGGTGGGGAGGTGAACATGGAAGACATCCTCAACCTGTTCGGCATGGGCGGTGGGATCCCGGGGATGGGCATGCCGGGGATGGGCGGCCGCAAAATGCGACGAAGTCCCGATGAAAATCAGAAATACGAAGTCACCCTAGAAGATTTGTACAAAGGCAAGACTGTCAAGTTCTCTTCCACCAAGAACGTCATCTGTTCGAAATGCAAGGGTAGCGGTGGTGCAGAGAAGGCACAAGCAAAAGAGTGCTCCGCTTGCAAGGGGCAGGGTGTCAAGCAGGTTCTGAGCCAGGTGGGTCCGGGCATGTTGACCCAGCGCATGGTCGAGTGCGGTGCCTGCGAGGGTACAGGGCAGGTTTTCAATCCCAAGGACAAATGCAAGAAATGCAAGGGCAAAAGGGTCACGGAAGAGAAGAAGCAGCTCGAACTCTACATCCCCCGTGGTGCTCGGGAAGGGGATCAAATCAAACTCGAAGGCGAGGCAGATCAGGTCCCCGGGGCGGAGCAGACTGGAGACATTATTTTTCACCTTGTTGAGCAGCCTCACGAGGTGTTCCAGCGCACGGGCAACGATCTCAGCGCAAAGCTCGACATCACCCTCGCCGAGGCGCTGACGGGCTTCCACCGCGTCGTCCTCAAGCACCTCGACGGGCGGGGTATTGAACTGAGGCACCCACAAGAACCAGGCCAGATCCTCCGCCCTGGCGAAGTGCTCAAGATCCACGGTGAAGGCATGCCGCTCAAGAAGTCTGACGCAAAGGGAGATCTCTATCTCGTCGTCGAGATCGCCTTCCCTGAAGATGGCTTCTTCTTGGATAAGCCCGAGGCGTTGGAGCAACTGCAGAAACTCCTCCCTGGCCCGGAGCCACCGATCGAAGCCGAGGAAACCGACGAGGTGAGTTTCGAGGTGGCAGACATTGACGAAATCGGAGGTCAGGAGGCCCAAGGAGCGTGGGAGGATGAAGATGGTCCGCAGGGTGCGCAGTGCCAGACTCAGTAAGCAAAAGATTGGGTTTCCGGGATGTCAACGGGCTGGTTGGACGGACGCGACACGACGTTATGACTCAAAAGACATCCAGAAACAAGGGATGGGGGAAAGCAAAGCATTAGACGGCGTTTTTGATGCAGGGTTCTTGGGGAAAGCATTGTACCGGCGTTGCTCTAGAAATGACGAGTTGGGCTCGCTCCTGAGACGAAGGAAGATCCATACTCTCTGATGTTGTAGAGAGGTTTCTTCATGTCCGTGCTCCCAGGCTCCGATTTGATCTGATTCGGGTTACCGCATTGTTTGATGGTGGTTGATGCTGGGTGGCCGGATCTTCCTGGCTCGAAGGTATTGGATCTATGCAAGCTGAAATATACATCTCCTCTAGGTGACCAAGTCTTAAGAACATGAACGATGCTCCACTTTCTCCAAGCATAAGAGACCTTCCTTTCTGGCCACTGCTCTTTTCCGCATCCTGATCCGCTCCGTTCTCGACCGGCTCGGGCTCGGGCGCTCCTGATGCTCTCTAGCGCCCGCCAAATTTCTTCTTCAGCCTTTCCGGAGTAATTCTGTAACATGTGGGAAACCAACTCTTGAGCTCCTCGCCATCTGTCCCTTCAATCATGCTTGCAGCGGCTTTTGCGCACAAAAAACACAAGACCATTCCATGCCCCTGGAACGAGGCAGCCAAATATAGCCCTTGCTCACCGGGCACAGGTCCTACAAAAGGATAACCGTCGCATGAGAAGCCCATGACGCCAGACCAGATTCGTCGACATCGACCTTCCGGGTTGTCTTTGCCCCAATTCTTCGCGCCAAAGTATCGCTCTGTACATTCCAAGAGATAGTCTGCGCTGTTCTTGTCATAGGTGGTATCATCAGTATTCCCGTATTCGGACGTTCCCTCGTCTTGTGCAACGTGCATACCACCTCCGATCACAATGTCACCCTCAAACTTGGAGCCGGCAGGGCGAGAGATCATGTATTCAAAGCCTTCATCGTAGACAAAGGAGTAGGTAGTTTCTAGTCCCTTTTGAGGCATGCTCTGTCCAGGCCGTTGAGCTGTCACGACTCCCCGCAAAGGGACGATCACACCTTGGAGTTGCGGATAGAGGTGTGCAGTATAGCCATTTGTAGCTAGGACGAGTGTTGTGGCTTTGATATTGCCACGTGGTGTTGAGATGGTCCACTTCCCATCTGCAGTACATTTGGACAAGCTTTTTGCAGGAGTGTTGCATTGAAGGTTAAGTCCCTTTTGCAGAGCGAGCTTTAGTACGCCGATAGTGAACTTGTACGCACTCAGACTCCCTGATTCATACTCAAGCCCTCCAATACTGTTCGGTGCCAGAAATTTCTCTGCCGTCTCCTGGCTGTTGTGGAAAATGTGCTTCGGAGCATTTTCCTTGCCCATCAACTTCTCCATTAGCACGACCGATTCTCGAGCCTTTTCAAATTGCTTCTCGTCGTAAAAGACGTCAATGGTTTGACACCTCACAGAATCGCAGTCGATGTTGTTCTCGCGGGCGAATTTGTGAACCGAGACCATGCAGTTGTATTCTAGGTTGGTGATCTTCATGGCATCTTCTGCCCCCACAGATTGAACATTGTCGAGGAAGGATCGATAGGTAGCTGTCTTAGTGTGACCTCCTTCAAACGGGTCATGTTAGGGAGTGCTCGTGAACCATGAAGGAGAGAGGTCGTCTTATCAGCTGGTAAGAAGGACAAACGTCAAGGAGTACAAGTCGGTTTCTGGTGACTCCAGACCTACCATTTCGACCACTGGCACCACTGGCAGCCTGACGTGCCTCCAGAAGTACAACCTTGAGGGCTGGATTCGATGAAAGCAGATTGTAAGAAATAGAGGCGCCGCTGACTCCTGAGCCGATGATGGCTATGTCGACCTCATCGGGGAGTTCGGCGGTCGTGCGACAATCTGCTATCTCATCGGGTGGATCTTGCCAGTAGCTCTGGATAGGATGATCGCGGGGCAGACCTGGAGGTATACTGGCTCTTTGTTCCATTGGAAGAAGCAGGGAGGACACGATCGAGATCTGAGAGGGCTGGAGAAGAGTCGAGGAAGCTGACAGAGAGTCAGACAGAGGACACTGTCTGGCACTATATGGGGAGTACCGAACAGTGGACCTCACAGTGACCGGGAGCACTAATCGTGGCACCGATCAGCCGTGAGGTTACATAAAGGAGAGGCAATAGAGATATTTCGGCTGATTGTACGAGCGCAGGCAGTTGCCTCACGTGACTCAACCTGCGGCAGCCCCAACCCTTTGCCGGACTAACGCCGCTTGCGGCTGCTAAGCCAGTAGTCAGAGGGCGCCTAGCAAACCTGGCTCGCGGGTGGAGGTGGCTGCCGGGTGGCTGCTGGGGGGTCCTGGCACCTGGGTGGTGCTGGCAGCCCGGCGCCTGGGCTCCAGTCTTTCGCTCGCCTCGCCTTCTCGTCTTTGCCCCGTCACCTGTCGACCTCCGACTTTCGTTTCTGTCTTTGTTCTTCCCAAATCCCTTCCGACCAACAACTCTCCGCTCCCATTCTCACTCACCACCTCGTTCCCACCGACGTCTTGAGTGTTGCGCCCGTCCGATACCTCGCTCCTGCTTGTCTCTGACGCAAGCCGTATCCGCCATCATCGTCATCCCCTCCCGAAGTCACCCATTGATACAAATCGATCAAAGTGACGCCCCGCTCCACCACTACCCAAGTGACAGCTTTGCTGGATCACAGCGCTCTCTTCGCGACTCCTCCGCTATCGACGGTGGCGCGCAAACCACCGCGGAAGGACTGGATTTGCGCGATTTCATGTCCTCTACAAGCCGGCCAACTGCCATCCCGCCATCCCCAACTTCTCCCTCTGAATCGGGCCTCAAGCGACGGCGCCTGTCTGACAATCTTCCGCACTCCCCCATTTCCCCTTCTTTTATGTCAGTCGCTACAAAGAGTTATGTCTCCTCTTACGGAAATACACATAATTCCGACGAGACTTCGGGGCGCTCGTCTCCGAACTCACCAAAGGCTTCAGCACCGCGTAACCAACAACCGTTGTCCCGTACCACGCCGTCCCTGCCAACCCCTGCGCACAGTGTGACGGGCACTTCCTCTGGATTTGAAATGGCTGATGATATCGATTCACATCGGGACAAGCGTCAAAGACTTGATTCGGATAGAGATCAAGAGGCGGATCAAATGGAGGTAGAACCCCTTGGAGAGGCAACAAATCATGATCGGAACGATGAGATGGAAATAGAGGGCGAAATTACTGGCAAGGAGAACAGCGCTGAACTGGGAGCTACAGGAAAGGCTGCAGAGCTAACGGTGGATGAGAAGACCCTGGACCAACTACAGAAAGATATGGGTGAAGCCTTTCTTCTCTGCAGATCCAGTAAGACTCTCCACTTCTCCACCACTCACAATCTATCCTTGCAGGTTTGTTAACAGACATTCTCACAGAAGTTGAGCGCCAGAAACCGAACCCGCAGCAGCATTTGTTGGCATTATATGGTCTGGGCCCATTATTGCACAGTGTCGCTCGCACCGATCCGAGGACTGGTGAGAAAATAAATAAGCTGCGGAAATCGTACGAGGGTCAGATCAAGGGATTCGCCCTGGCGGGGCGGAACAAACCTGTCAAGGGCGAACGTAACGTGGAAGAAGACCAACCCGGACCGTTACGGCGCATGGCTGGATCGTCTGCTTGGGGCCTTCAACCAGATGAGCAGTGGAATGCAGAACACGCAAAGTCCAAGATTGAAGTTACGCCTGACTTCCGAAACAAGTTGAAACAAGCCATGCAAATGCAGCCAGGCACAGTTCGCAACAACGCTCACTGGGAGGATATGCTCGGATTCGATAAGCCGAAACCGAACGTGGCTCCGGTGCAACAATCAACCCCTCGGCCTGTCGCAAACGGGGTGGTACGACAGTCTCAACAACCATCTGCAGAAGCCAAACGACAGACTCGTGGGAAAAAGCGGAGTTATGGTGATGATAGTTTTGTCGGCTACGGAGAAGGTTATTCGGACCCTGAAGATGGCGATGGCGACGAATATGGCAGCCAAAGAAAACGGAAAAAGGTGATAGCCACGGACTACTGATGGATTGATCTGTGACTTACCCAGCCTCAGGTTTCGTCTGGGACACCTCTTCCCTATGGACCAGATCGCTAAACGCGGTCGGCAGTCCCGTTCGGCGGCCATGCATATTCACGACATCACCTTTGAATGCATATTCTTTGCCATATTTTGCATGCACGGGATGTTTTCAAGATACCCTAATGAGGACAGATAGAGAGAACAGAAAAAGGGATATGGGCGATGGGCGGTCAAAACTCGTGGAGGCGTTTCAGAGGGGGAGGGTCGGTCTTTGTCTTTCGCATGCTATTCCAAGCATTGAACATTGGGCTGCAGGGAGGATGGAGGCAGGATATTCGTGCTTTTCCCTGATTCGGGATGGCGAGTGACGGTTTCTACTATTACTTCTGCTCGATCAGCGTCGACAGAGCTCAAACTACAATGGGGGGAAATAGCGGCGGCCTCCGGATGACATTGCAGGTCTGTTCACGCCTTGTGGCATCGTCCTGAGGCGCGTTGTGTACGAGCGATCATGACACTAAATGAACAACACATTCATCGAAAACCTGCCTATATATCTTTCGCCTGTCTCATAATGCCGCCTTTGATTGTTCCCGGAGAGACGAGGTATTCATATTTCGCGGTTGCAGTCGTGTTTTCTTCAAGTGCAGCCACACTCTTTCATCGACCTCGCCAATTGACTTGATACGAGCTCGATCTGCTTTGTAGGTCAAACCCTTCGACCCAAGAAACACAGCCCAAAGACAAGATGCCTTCGTCCTATCTACCTATGCCCGAGCCTACCGTGCCCAAAAGACCTCTATCGTCCTACAAACTCATCTCGTACGACATCTACGGCACGCTCATCGACTGGGAGACGGCCATTGTGAGGCTCCTTCAACCGCTAGTCTCGCGCATCCCCTCATCCTCCCCCCTCAGCCAGGAATATCAAGACAGCACGAGCCCCGGCACCGAAGGACGGATCCGACTCGCGGCGAAGTACAACGACATCGAACATGAGTTGGAGGAAAAGAACCCATCTCAGCAGTATGACGAGCTCCTGCGCGACATCTACCTGCGCATCGCGTCCGACTTTGGCCTCGAAGTCACCGGCTCGACCGAGGACGAAGCAAAGCGGTTCGGCGAGAGCATAGGCACCTGGACACCGTTCCCGGACACGGTCGACGCGTGCCAGCGGCTGGTGAAGCACGGGTTCAAGCTGGTGCCGCTGTCCAACGTCGACCGGGCCAGTTTCGCGCGCACCTGCTCGGGACCGCTGAGCGACGTCGACTTCTTCCGCGTCTACACGGCCCAGGACATCGGCTCGTACAAGCCCGACCTCCGCAACTTCGAGTACCTCATCACGCACGCCAAGGAGGACGCCGGCGTGGAGAAGCACGAGATCCTGCACGTCGCGCAGAGCATCTTCCACGATCACATCCCGGCCAAGAAGATGGGGTTGGCCAGCGCGTGGATCAACCGGAAGGGGGCGGGCATGGGTGGCAACGAGGCTATCAGAGGCATCCATGAACGGGGAGAGGTCGGGTATGGATGGAGGTTTGGGACATTGGGGGAGTTGGCAGATGAGGTTGAGAGGGAGAAAGGACAGGAAGATAAGTAGTGTATCGCAGTGGAGGATCTTGACATTTTGTTCTTCGTCTTTAATGCCATTGCCAGTGCCCTATCTCAGAGCTGCCCTCCCCAGGCCGTCTATCTTACATCCCCCGTCTGTCAGGCCTTCTCGTGAAAGTCGGCGCCACACAACAGCCTTCTCTTATACTCCTTTCAATCTTTCCTCCTCCAAGACGTTTCTGGTTCTGCAAGAGCCTTTGCATTCCATCCTGGATCACTGCTCTCGGTGACGAGAAGCCCTGCCCAGTTGGATCTGTTTGTTTCGGTCAGTATTGCGCTGTAGACTTGAAACGGTTGTCGAGCTGCTTACCTGCAAGGTCTTCTGCTCCCAGCCCTTGGTGAAACTTTGAATCTTTTCCACACGGCGTGCCTGTTCGTTGCTTTAATCCCATTGTATGGCTTTCCGACATGGCTCCCTTCTGCCGTATGCCTCAGCAAAACATGGCCCGTTTTGGCAAATACTTGGTCGAAGCGCATGATGTGCAGGTCTGAAACGCCGGCCATCACAACGGCGTGTGAGTCCGGGTAGTCCATGGGTATTTCGCAGTCCGAAAGGCCTCTGGTGCCCAGAACCAGCTGTCACTGTGACAGAGGTGTGAAACAGATTGACCGCCTTTGTTCTGGGTCGGGGGGTAGGCGATGGCCATGTATTGTTTACATATGTCGATGTTGTGCTGATTTCGCGGACAGAGGGTTCAGTCAGTCTTGTGATATAGAAACATATGCAGTGTGCTCTCGAACGTGATGGACAGGCTATTCTCGCCTCTTCCTCTGGCGTTTGATCTGTGGGCGTTTGATCTGTGGACATGAGCCCTTTGAAGACATTGTCGCGATTCGTATAATTCAGCTAGCAGGGACTCTCAGAAACGATTTGCTTGCTACACTCCTGAACTTCTTTTCTGTGATGACTCGAGTGTACATTTCGAGTGCTGCAACGGGGTTCTGCTCGCTTGATATCATAGTGAAGGTTCAATGAGGTCATGCGGGCGAGGAGTGTGTTGGTCAGTGGCCGGCGCATGCGATTGGCTTCAGGCAGTATTTCGACCGCTCTTAGACGCTGTTAGCTGCTGTGGTGTTGGAGGGATTATACCTTCCTCAGTTAATCCACCGATCTCGAGCGAGTAGATACGCCTCAATAGATGTATGTGGTCGTGTGGTGTGGGGGACGAGCCGAACATCAGCCGCGCCAGACTTCATCGTCTTTGTGTTTTGCGTTGCCTTCCTCTTCTTTCCTTCCCACAATCCTCCATTGCTCGGCAGAGGCAAAACGCTAAACTATGGCACGCAGATCCATTCCTCGAGTCACAGCACATTTGCCGACAGGTATGGACGAGATTCGCGATCTCCCAACCAGAGACGAGGCTCTCGCTCCGAGGTCAAGGCCATTAAACCGATTGAGGAAATGTAGCAATAAGCCACACCGCAGCCCCTGCTTGGCTTCTGCCCAATAGTCGACAAGATGGCTGGATCTCCCCCAAGGTCTTCAGGACACCGTCCATTTCATTCAATCTTCTTGTTCCACCTCTGCTTAGGAGCCCTTTCCTCCTGAACCATGTCTCTGAGGTTTTCACATACATACTCAACAGACGGTCATGGCAAATGCTCGCCGCAGTGCTCGATCCAATATTTTCATCCAACATGATCCAAATGCTTCCCGTTACAGCCAACGACTTTCGAAGGAACAATGGGAAGATATCAGGCCCAGAGTGGTGGCACTCTGCAGTCAAGATGTCAGTATTTCTGGCATCCTACGAGAGTTGCAGTCCAGTAACATCTCTGTGACAAGAAACCAACTTGACGGGAAAATGAAAAGATGGGGGCTTAAGGGGAGCACTCAAGGGCTTTCAACGCAGGCCATGCTTGCTGTTCCATATGCCGCAATGTCGGAGCAAGCAGCCATTTCGGGAGAAAATGCGAGAAATCCAGCAGAGCTACTCTCGCAGAGTGCTAGCTCTACATTGTCGACTATGAACCCTGCTGGTTCAAGTTACGGCTCGGCTCCCGAATCCAAACCGCCTCAACTCGAGGAAGCCTCCCCATTCGAACCTACCGGACTGAGCCGAATCTCGAAGTCGCAATACATAGCAGACGCATCCGACACCGATATCATCTTGACCGAATATTCCGTCATTCCACCTACCATCGTGCCGTCAGAAAGCTCGGCTGGTGCTGCTGCATCTGATCTCCAACCTCAAGCCAGAGAGATGATGGAAACAGAAGACAATAACATGACGCAGAGTTTCACTCGCAAACAAGATTCTCCCAAGCACAGCCTGGGTCAAAACCCGCACCGTCTACCCCAGGTGCTACTGGACGAACGTCATCCGAGACTCGAAATTAATTCGTTATGTTTCGATGATGAGGGCATAATACCCCGGATGTTCTGCTTTTTTGTCACCAAATATGGCGCTTCTGTTAGTGTTCTCAAACGCCTCGGATACATGGCAACGCTGCTTTTGACATTGAATTTCCAGAGCGAGGCGTATCAACTGTCACTTCGTATTGTCGATCAGATCAATCGACAAGCATCGGTTCAGGGGGTTTCACGTCAGCTTCTGCCGTTATATGTCATATCGTGTGCTCAATGTGCTGGCTCAGTGGGCGAAAGATTGGAAGCAATGTCGCTTGTTCGACAGACCTATAATTGGCTGTCAAGGTGCCATCAGTCTGGACAGCACACGGGCCAAAAGACTACTTCATGTCTGGAGGTCCTCCTCCAAGTGGAGGAAGATAACCCAATGCAGCGAGATAAGGTGACAGCCTACTGGTTCTTGAACACTGCGCTCTTCGATTTCCAGCAAGACGACGAGCACTTTATTTGGTCAGAAACGTTGTCATGCCACAGCATTGACAGCGCTTTTCATCTTCTCCACGAGGACAGGGGTATCTTGAACTTAATAAAGAATGCGATTACCCAGCTAAAGAAGCGTCTACAAGCCTATAGGAAAGAAATCGATGGGCTATGGTGTGGCAACCTACGAGCCTTCGAAGACGATCTCTACATAGGTCGAGAATTGGCACGCTTGGTTTTGAAGCCTCGTGTGTCACAAGATGCTGGACATCTCGATGATCTGGTCTCTCCTGAGAGCGCAGAAGATTTTGGAAACTCAACACTTGTCTCCCAACTCCTGGCACCCGTCTTGTCGGTGATGTGTGTTATGATCGGCAAGCAGGGGAGAAGAGAATGGATCGGTGACGGACGTTGGAGCGCCTCAACCAGCAACTTCAAACTCTCAGCTATGCTCATGGATGCGGCTCTGTCAATCCAGCGAGCAGTATGCCGTGGCCGGAAGGTTGAAGGTGGTGGTGTCCTTGATGGCTTGATAACGGCCGACAGCTATGAAGGCTTCATCGACGCATGTCTTCGCGAATTAAATGCCAGGGAGATGAGGAAGTTTCGGTCAGAGGCAATGGACGACAAAGATCTGATCAACATGACGGCTCTCCTGGCGAAAGTGTCGAATCACTCAGACCTTGACTTATTGGCCATATCATTTCTGCCATCGATGGTCTTGACTCTGCAGGAAAGGACACACTTCCCACCCCAACCGATCCGTCCCGCCACTCTCTCAAATCGCCTCCACGTTGAAGCTGTGAGGGCCTACAGCGCAGAGGCTTGGGTCGGCCCACCTCTCGCCCGATCTTGTACGTCGTCGATAAGTTCGGGTTACAAGTCTTTCAAGACAACAACGGTTGCACATGGAATGGTCGGATCTATGCAACCCCCAACGATTCCTCCAGTTCCAATGGTGAATTGGTCGGAGCTTATGAGCTTGAAGTTCGATGTTGGGACAGGTTTCCCTTCGATTCATATGACGAGTGTTCCTTCTGTCATCTCAACCCGCGACTTTGAGTGTCACACGGTAGACGAAGACATAGTCTTGTGAAATGTGGGATCATGGTGGGGAACGACTACTGACCAATGTTTTCATCGAGGGCTTGCTATGGGACGATCGGAGGATGTGGTTCTTGACTACTTGGGGTTTGGACGGAGGGATTGAAAGGCGTCGGGGTATTAAAATGATATAGTCATGACTGACAAGCTGGCAATGCTGATGGCCGTCGTCACGGAGGGTCTCCCCTTGACGTGTCCATACTGATCTGCCCGGTCTTTTATACCGAGGTGATCAATCACAGGTACATTACACACATCGAGAATCACAATACCACCGCTTTTAATAGGAAGATCCCTGAAAATCCATGACACATTGAGTTGTATTCGACCCCCTCTAAGATCCCTCGGTAGGTATAGGGACGTTGAACCCGTTGAGGTTGACCGACACCAAAGCGTACAGCGACACGAGAAAGATCAGCTCGGACAGCATCTTCTGGCCCAAGACACGGACGCCCTGGGCGTAGAGGTCGTCGGACAGCGGACCTCCCGACACCAGGGCTTTGGAGATGTCGTGCACGAGCGTTTCGTCGGGCGAGAGACCGCCGTCGGGAATCTCGCCTCGCGCCAGGGCGGCGACCTGGTCCGGGTCGAAGTAGTGGCGCGACAGGCCCGAGTGAGCGTAGACCTCGTAGGCGGCGCGGTAGTGCGAGCCGACGGTCAGGATGGCGACCTGGCGCAGCGTCTCCGGCAGCGTCGCGGCCCGGAACATGACCTTGCTGAGGTGCCACATGGCGGCGCCGACGACGGGCTCGTGGATCCACGCGTTCCACGGGCCCAGCAGCGCGCCCGTGCTGTCCCGCGTGATGAACGACTGCTGCCCGTCGAGCGTCTTGACGATGTTGTCCACCACGTCGTCGTACAGCGCTCGCTGCGCCGGGTCCAGCTGCTCTGGCGGCACGGGCTGGAGGCGCATTCGAGATGTCATTTTTGTCTACCTCTCTCTATTCTATATCTCACTCTGACTCGAGAAAAGGAGCGAAGTGGGTTGTAATTCTCGTGAGTGAGTGGTAGTTTCTTGACCGGATGGAAGGTGTCTGGGGGGGTCGTATATGTGTGTGGTGTGCGTGCGTGTGTGCGTGTAGTATATAAATCCCACCCCTCGCAGCTCTGCAGTTGTTGAAACCCGATACAACCCGCAGAGAATCACCTGTCGATGAGTCGATGAGTTCAACAGGAACTACCAACACAACCAATCCTTCGCCCGCGGCCACTGACCATCGATAGCACTTTATCTCGCCCATGACGTCCTGTCCTTTCCTCCCCTTTTTCCTTTCTGAGCCGCCTTGCGTGTTTTTTCCCTCAAAATACCGTCATTCTCCCGTCCTGATCGAATCCCCTCCAGTGTAAACCGGCGGAATTATCCATCTTGTCTCGATATGGAAAACAGACATGGTGGTCCGCATTGGCTAAACAATCTAGCCGAGACACTCACTCATGTAAGCAGAGAGGAGGGACGTGGTGTGGTGTGGCGCCACCTGTTTCCTGTTTCCTGGAGCCGCTGCTGCCGGGAGATAATCGGCATGTGCGAGATAGAGATGGAGATGGAGGGAGAGAGATACCGAGTAAATCAACCGACGACCCTTGTGTCCTCCATTCTGTCCGTTGGTGGCGGTGGTGATGGTGGTGGTGCCATGAGGCT